TTGTGAGGGTTGGAACTGATGGCTGTGGCTATTTATATATGTTTAAAAAAGAAGAAAGGATTGTTTGCTGCACCTTATTAACTGCAAATCAGCTTTGCTTTCCCTGGTGTGTGTGTGTATCATACGAGGCTGTGTCTGTCCCTGAGGCTGTGCTGTTCTTTGCAGGCAGTATGCAGGCTACGAGTACTCGCAGCAGAGCGGGTTCGTCCCCCCGGAGATGATGCAGCAGCAGCAGCCCTACACGGGGCAGATCTACCAGCCGACCCAGACCTACACTCCAGCTTCAGCACAGTCTTTTTATGGAAGTAATTTTGAGGATGAGCCTCCTCTATTAGAAGGTATAACTTACACTTTATGGCCCAGATCCAAAACTCTTCCCAATTTGGGGATAAGCTGAGCAGCAGCGTGTCTATTCCCCACTCCTGAGAGCGCACAGTTGATTTCAAATTCTCATTATTATTTATTTTTAACTGTATTTTGGGGTATGAAATACACGTCCTTGTGTGAACTTCTGCAGTTGTAGAGTTGTGCTTTGCTATGTCATCCCAGCTGTTCTGTGGGAGACATCATCAGTTAAATGGGTAACCTGACCTCATACAGCTCTCGGGATAAAACACCATTTCTCTCGTTGCAAATAACACTTAAATTGCCCATTTCTTGTAAAATAAAGGGACACAGTTGTTTTCAGTTGGTTCTTTGGTTAGAACCCAAATCTTTCATTGCTGAAGAGGAATGCTAGAGGCTGCAGGAATTCCCTGGTGGCACACAGCTCATGCAGAGAGCCAGAAGGGATGGGTAGGTGGTGTCTGATCCAGGGTTTCAGTTTCCAGCTTGTGTCCATCGCTGCTCGGTACCAGAGAACTGGAGAAACTCCCTGTTCCTGGTGAGAGGGAGGTGTTCACAGTACCTGTCACCTACACCTGCTTGTCACACCTCCCACCCTGCTGGGCTGCTTTTCTTTTTGTATTTTTCAAAAAATTATTTTATTTACATAGATGCTTCCCAGGACCTGAGGTTGGCAATTAGTAACTGTGCTCATAACGAGGTTGTGACACACGACTGTGGCCAGGCTGTCTGGATGGGGACTGGAAATCGGATCTGGCTGGAGGGAAACTCCCTGTGATCAGACACTGGGCGTTAAAAGGGGTGGGTGGTTTTTGGTAGTGGACTCAGTGGCTGGTTTATGAAAGAGAAATCCACTGGGAGTAATTAAGGATAGAGGAGGAGAGTACAAACAGAGAAAGTACTTTGCACTAGAAACCCTGGAGCCGCCGGTCACTGAGACTTGGGGAGTGTTTGTGGAATCTGTGTCAGTTCTCAGTCCTCTGGTCACCACAGGATGGTATCTGGGGGAGATTTAAAAGTGGAGAGGTGGGGAAAGCTGAGAGTGAAGCAAACGTGGGTGACAGGAAGGGACAAAATGAAATAACTCTGCATAATTGTTTTCATGTAACTTGCAGAATTGGGGATCAATTTTGACCACATCTGGCAGAAGACACTAACAGTGCTGCACCCGCTGAAAGTAGCAGATGGCAGCATCATGAATGAGACTGATTTGGCTGGACCAATGGTTTTCTGTCTAGCTTTTGGAGCCACGTTATTACTGGTAAGCTATTAATTACCAAATGTTACTGTTTGTGCTTTGGTGTTCTTGGAAACACTGGGGAAAAAGCCAAGTGACCTGTAGGCTTATTGGCAGGGGGGCCAAAACCAGCACATCCTGACCAAGAATTTGTAGCTGGATGGAAGGTGAGCTGGGGCTTCACACCTCACTGAGGGCACTTCATGAGGTCACTGTCACTTTACTTCAGTGGCATTTGAGTTCAAGTCTTTGGGCTTGGTTTCTGCATGGCAATTATTTCAATTTGTGTTTCTTTTCATACTTTGCTTTTGAGGAGTACGACTCCTCTTTGTCACAGGGGTGGCTGTGACCCCTGTTCTCAGATTTTTACTGGTTTGGGGTTTTTTTATAGCTAGAGATGTTTTGCTTTCAGAATCATACCTTTTTGCAGTGACTCTTTTATCTTCTGTCTTATCAGGAATCAGAACAATGGACATACTAAATATCTGAATATTTATCTCATTTCACTAACTAGGAGTTTATTTTTTAACTCTTACTGTGTTTAGCATCTGAATCTATTTCTCTGTTTTGTTTGGTTGGATTTCTTTGCTCAGTACTCTTTGTTCATTGTTCTTTACTGCTGTTCAAGGGGCAAGGAAACTCAAAATTCATGTGTAAGAACATGGTTTCATAAGTCCTGGTGCATTAGGCTCGACTTTCAGTGTCGAGAGGCAGTCTGATAAAACACTTCCAAACTAAACCTGCTTTCGCATGGTTTCTACTTCTTAACAGGTCAGCAGCTGTTGAAGCCTGGAGGTTTTTTTAGTTGAGCTTAATTGAAATAAGATTGTGTTTTAATGACTCAAAAGTGTCAATTATGGAATGACAGAGTAGCAGTAAACAGTCTTCCTTGTCATTGAAAGCTTCAGTATTTTTAATCATCTTTTTCCCTTGAATGTCTCCAGGCTCTGCATTTAATTCTTGCCTGAAATTTCACATTGCTCTGACACTTGGAACACCGTGTTTTGGTACCCAGGGGACTTTAAGCCTACTTTTATAAGTATCCTTTATTTATGGAATTTAGGCCAGTAGAATTCACGACCATGTTTCTAATGGATACATTTGAATGTTCTTTTCCTCAGAAATTATCACTTTCTCCCATGTGCTGTTTTTTAAAGTACATTGAGTGTGACGAAAGAAAACAAGCTTAGCCCAGCAAAAAGCTGAAAGCAGGTGTGGTGGTTTTCTGCAGCGCTTGGGGAAGAATGTGGCTGGGTTATTAACTAAACTTAGTGTGGAAGTTAATAGTGAGAGACGGAGTTTGAGGCTCCACATCATCGTGGGGGTCAGTGACTGCACGGCCCCGTGTTCCCGCAGGGGTGGGGTGGGCACCACGCGAGGGAAGTGTCGACCTCATTGTGGGAAAAACACGATGATGTAGGATATGTACATTGTGAAATCACAGAATATTAGGGATTGGAAGGGACCTCAAAAGATCATCCAGTCCAATCCCCCTGCCAGAGCAGGAACCTAAATGAGATCACATAGGAAGGTGTCCAGGTGGGTCTTGAATGTCTCCAGAGAAGGAGACTCCACCCCCTCCCTGGGCAGCCTGTCACAGGACTCTGTCACCCTCACTGTAAAGAAGTTTCTTCTCAAGTTTAAGCAGAACCTCCTGTGTTCCAGCTCACACCCATTGCCCCTTGTCCTACCATTGGGCATCACTGAGAAGAGCCTGGCTCCATCCTCCTGACATTCACCCTGAACATATTTATAAACATTAATGAGGTCTCCCCTCAGTCTCCTCTCCTCCAAGCTAAAGAGCCCTAGCTCCCTCAGCCTTTCCTCAGCAGGGAGATGCTCCACTCCCTTCATCATCTTGGTGGCAATAATGCACTTATTACAGGACTTTAGCTCTGGGCTTGTTCCTCACTTACAGTTTTCTTGGTCTTTAAACACTGCTTCTGTAAATATTATTATTGCAAGTCATCAGAGAAAATCAACATGAGAAGTTAGTTGATTAAGCCCTAAAGAATTCGTAGGCTTTTGCAGACCAGATCAAAGAAGAAGAATAATTTGATCAAAATCTGTTCATCAAGATACATAAAGTTCGGATAAACTTGCCTCTGGAGTGCCTGGAATATACAGGTGTCCTGGAATTCAGGTTGTGGGAAAATAACTGTTAAATTTGAATGTAGGAGTTGAGAGTGGGGAGACAGTGGGGAAAATCGAGGTGTTCCCCACTCCCCTTTGTCTGCGGGAGGCGTTGCTCCTTCAGGAAGCTGACACACGTTCCTCTGCTTGGCTTTCAGGCTGGCAAAATTCAGTTTGGTTACGTGTATGGAATAAGTGCAATCGGCTGTTTGGGGATGTTTTGTCTCCTGAACTTGATGAGCATGACGGGTGTCTCGTTCGGCTGCGTCGCCAGTGTCCTTGGATACTGTCTCCTCCCCATGATCCTACTGTCTACTTTCGCCATTGTATTTTCGTTGCAGTAAGTACATAAACTTTATACTTTGGTGATCGGTTCCTCTCTTATCAGGTGGTGAAGGGAGTTATTAAAAGGAATTGTCATATTTGGTGATGAAGCTGCATAGAATTTGAATGTGACAGGAATTAGTAAGTGTGAAAACATAAATATCAACATATCAAAACATAAATATCTTTCGGTATTTACTGGATGGAAGATAAGTGAATAATGGATAAGTGAATAACAGTTTTCAGTTAATTAAATACATGGACTCAAATAACAGTATTGAGTTTGGTTTCAGTCAGCTCTGAATCTGTCAGATCTCGGGACCTGTGAAGTCTAAAAATAATTGTAATTTAAGATAAAATTTGACAAACTGACCGTGTGATTCCTCATAGTACGAAATTAGGAACTGAAAAGAAAGTACTTGCTACAGCTGCATTACTCACCGCTTCCATGGGCACAAAGTTAATTTGAGGGGGTTTTATGCTGTCATAATTGAATAATATGGTTCTGAGGTCTTTACTGCAACTCTGTTTCATCCTAAAAGTCAAAGCTAAAAGCTAAAATTCATCTTAGAATCTGTAAAAGGTGTTAGAAGGAGTCCAGCTGTGACTGACAGGAATTCTCTTTTAATTTCTGTCTTTTCAGGGGCATGATGGGGATTATTCTCACCGCTGGAATCATTGGCTGGTGCAGCTTTTCTGCTTCCAAAATCTTTATTTCTGCCTTAGCAATGGAAGGACAACAACTTCTAGTAGCATACCCCTGTGCTTTGTTGTACGGAGTCTTTGCTCTCATTTCTGTGTTTTGAATAGACTGTCCAAACTAAACTGTGGGACTCCAGTGGGCCAAAATGAAAACATCCCCTTGGAACAGGACGTGGACCAGAAGCAGCTGCAGATGACTGTCGAGTGTTGCTATCATGAACCTTAGACCCCTTTTGAATCATCTGGAACAATGAAAACACGTGTCTCGTGTTGACTTTTTTAGGACTTTGAATACTGTTTCCAACTGACCTGAGGTGTCTATAGCTTTAATAAGTGTTCATGCTTATCAAGTTAATGTCATTTCTTTCCCATTCCTATATCTTTAGAAAAGTAACTTTCGGTTGTTTATTTGAGGGTTGGGGGGTTTTTGTGTTTTGTTTCTTTTATTTTATTTTTTAGGGGAGGGAGGGAGAAGGATTGCAGTTATAAATGGAGAGATTTTTATGAGGAAAAGTTAATAGAGCTGCGGACAATGTAGATTTGGGATGCTCCTTGATAAATCTGCAGTGATAAAGAACCTATTTCCTGTCCCCTCTTACCAAAAGCAGAATGCACAAACAAACACAGGCAATTAGAGCATTTTCTATATTTTAACAAATATACTCTGAAGCTCTTTGGTCTCGTTTACTTGTTCATTTGATGTGATAGTATTTCAGGATTTAAGATACTTAAATTATGAATTAGAAAACAGATGCTTAAAAGTTAAAGGGATCTGTGATTCTGTCACACTTGAAATAGGAATACATTGGGATGTCTGAGTAGCTCTGTGTTAACTTGGATTTCTGAAGGTGACTTCAGCCAGTTTCTTTTCCTAATGGTGCACATACCAGTAGATGAGGAGTAATCTCTTTTGCAGTACTTCCAAGAAAAACACCATTTTGAAAATGTTATGCTTTGTCAGTATTGTAGTTACTGTAAAATAATTTAAGGCATATTGATTAAATTTTCCTTAAATTTTGAAAAAAGGTGTTTGATTTTTATAATCTTTCTTTTTTTTATTGGAGTTCAGTTACTGAAAGAGAATCTTCAATACTGAAGCGAAATTGTACTTAAAACTGTATTCAGTTAGTGGATTTGATACTTGCTTCAGTCACAAATACTTTATCTTACGTGAGAAGTGTCTAGTTTGTGATGTTAGTCACTTACCAGAAGTCCTACAAGCATAAGAAGTGGGAAAGCAAAAATTAGTTCTTCATATAAGCATTTGCTAATCCTTAAAATAAGCAAGAAGAGGATACAGCCGTGTTTTAACTCGTACTGGGGAGGGGGGTTATGTATGTAGGTAATAATTCTCTGCCCCTGCCTTGGAAATGAAGAAGCTCTAATAAAGTGCTGGATTGCAATACCATTTCTGCAGCAGTTTAATCCAAGGGGTTTCATGTCGTTGAATTTACTCCAGGTGTTAGTCTGATGTTCCTCCGTCAGGTCCGTGGAACCAGCTGTTCACAGACGTGGAGAGTTGAATCCCTGGTCAGAGGCGTTATGTTAACACCTGGCGAGGCTGAATGTGGGGGTGCAGCTGCAGAGGAAAGCTGACAGTGATACAGGAGTGGATGATTTCAAAGGCTCAGCACACGTTCTTGTTCACTCTTCATTCTGCTAAATGAAGAGTTCACTTTTTGTTCTCCTAAAATACTTTCCTAGAGCAACCAGAAGCTCCTGGCGAGGTTCTCCTTTGTTGGCCAGAGCCAGCTTTTGCTGTGTCACTGGGAGCTGTGGGAAGTGTCCTGTGAGTGTGAAGCCTTTAAGAAGCAAACACTGATGCACAAAACCGTTCTGACCTGTGTTATGTGCTGCAACTGGCTGTTGCAATGAATTCGAAAACTCACAGGCATAAAAAAACCTTCCATTTCCTTCCAGAGGCGAATTCAAGAGCCCAGGTAATTTTCTGCTTCAGTACGTGGTTACAAACCATCACCCTAAATACAAGTACCGAGTTGATTTTATTGAGCAAAATGTTTGGCTCTGTATTTTGTAGCCCTGGGTTCTTTGGATTAGCCGATCACGTCTGCCCTGGCGCACAGAGTTCTTGCTCTTTTTAATGAAGAACATTACCTGCTGACAGAGCATGATGTCCTGTATTTGTGCAAATAAATTACAGTGATTACCTTTACTAATGAGACCTAATTAAATACAGAATTGTTCTGGTAAGTACAAAAGCTCACATACTTTTGAGCACATCGGGTTCCAGTACTGAAATATTGTATTTTTGTGAAGCTCACCTTGCACATGCACACGTGCTTCATTTCTTACAGCCTGCCCTGGCTCTGGAGACGGCTGCCGGGGTGGTGACCTGTGTGTTAAACTGCCACAAATAACCTGTTCTGTCACCTCACCGCGAGTAAACCGAGTGCAGAACATTCAGATTAACCTGTCTCTGTGCAGCACTGGCAACACAGCTGCTTGGTTTGGGAAGATGGTGTGAGAAGGTCTTTATTTAGATATATATGTCCATAAAGTCCTTAAAGACACTGCATGTCCTCAAGCAGTGAGGTTTGACCGGTGAGTTTTGTGTTCCTCAGCTCACGTGGAGAATGGAGCAGTGAATTTCTAACTGGTCTCTCGGGAGCAGGAGAGAAGCGGATGGGAGCAGAAGGTCAAAGACTTGAATTCATAGATGACTTTATAAAAACACACTGTTAACGTCTAGACTGGTAGTCTTAAATATCCTCAATTTGTGGAACATTAATTAATGGGATTCCATTGACTGTGTTTATTGCCTTTCCAAAATCAATTCCATTGATTTTCTGTAATAGTGTTTTATCCAGTTGTGTTTCAGATGATTTACTTTTGCCGTCACACGGAATGACAAGCTTGGATGCTGTAATTCTTCACTCCCACATTTTCCTTCATATTTAGTAGGACTTTTTTTTTTTTTACTTCTGAAATCTGAACTCTCCTCCACAGTGTAGTTGACACATCCTGCCTTTGCTATCCTTTTAAAATTTAGTTCAATAACGTCCCTCTTGGAACTAAAACAATTTATTTACAGAGTCTATGGGATTAGAAGAGGGTTTTTTAAAAAACATTTGTTGTTTAGGAGTTACCAGCCCTGATGCCTCAGGATGTGAGGGTCTGAGATTATTTATTGTGGTTATCCTCGAGCGTCCTGTGAGCTGGGGAGGGTCTGTTGTTCTGGTTTGTGGATGAGGAATGCAGGAAGGAGATGTATATAATTTGTGTAAGTCCTGCTGCATTTGATCACATTTATTTCAGCAAAACGTAACAGGATATTTCTCCAGGGGGAAGTTCTCAGTCCAGCTCTCTGGGACACAGTTTACAAGTGGGAGGAGGTTTTGTGATTGGGAAGTCTGTTGCTTGTGTTTGCCAGCTTTGTGTTTTCCCCGTGGAAGCCAGCGGGCCGGTAGCTGACCAGCAGCCCGTGCTCTGGGAAGGGCTGGAAGCGTTGGGCTCTTCAGGGCATTGGTTTTTTTTCTCCTATGATTTCTTTGCTTTATTGCAGGAAGCACTGACACTAGAGAAGTGAGGATTGTCTGGCCCCCCTCAGCAATGGTGCAGTGGAAGATGGTCTAGAATTAGACCCTACTCCTGGAACGGGCCTCTCCAGTGGTGCTGTAACTGGGTGTCTTTAGGAAGGAGGGTGTCGCTCTGTTTCTTTACACGCTGAACTCCACCACATCGTTCTTGAAATTACCAGAATACATTCCTGTTCATTTTTTTTCCCAACATTCTTGCTTTTCTGCTGTCAGCATAGGAAAATCTAATCATCTTGGATACCTGCCTTACCTACTGACCTACCAGACCCACTCGCTTTTCAGCCATGGAATTTGCATCTGCTTTCGTGCAAGAGCTGAAGCCAAAGGGAAGAAGAATTCTGCGTGTCTGTTGGGAAGACGACCCAGTTCCTCTCTCCACTGCACACGGCCGCTGCCATGATGTGAAGTTACCATCAGGCTTCAAACCAGACCCTGCCACGGGCACTCCTTACCTCCCTGTGTTTTCTCAGATCTGGAGAATAATGATTTACTGCTGAAGAGGAGTCGGGAAAACTCCCTCTCTCTAGACTGCCCATTCCCCGGCACGAAGCGTCGGGCAGCTCCTGCAGCACAGGGTGTGTTTTTCCCTCTGTGAGCGGGGGGTTGGCATCTCGGGTAGCTCAGTGCCTCACAGGAGCCTGTCTCACCTCTGAGACCTGCGCAGGGTTTCCTCTGGCACGGCTTGTCGAGGGTGAGCCTGTCAGGAGGAGGTCACTGGAGACACACAGGTTAATGGTCCAGCTCCGCGCCAGTCCCAGCATTTTTTGCCAGAGTCTTTCCAGGCCCGTTGGCAGCAGTGCCAGTGAAGGTTTATCTTCAGTGGATTTTATGAATCCAAACTCGAGGCCGTTTGGGCCCCAGAGTAAAATCCAGACGTTCTTACTCGGGGTGTGATTTATCCTGCTCCGGTGGGTGCCAGCTCCTCAGTTCTTTTTCAGGCTGAATTCCCATTTAGCTCAACAGGAGACTTAGTTGAATCAAGAAGATGAATATTTGGCCAATAATTATGTCAGGCAAATCTGGACAAATATCCTCATTTACAAACAAAGCTGCCAGGCTGGGACACTTGGCGGGTACCTCTGCTCCTCCTCTCAGCGTCAGACCTGAGCGCTGCCCAGCCCCCCGAGCCTGTGCTCCGACCAGCCACGTCCACAGAGAAAAGGGTTTTGGTGTTGATAGATCAATGCCAGCTCCTTACCTCAGAAACAAACAGAGCCTGAGAAGTATCTTCATAGAGGCCTTTCGTTTTAGTAAAGGATACAATCTGCAGAAGTGAAAATCCATCTTAAAAACTTTGTGTATTAACCTGTTCATGTTCAGTCACCGAGGAAAACTGCAGGTCATGTTGTCCTCATACCATCCAGACAAACACTAAAGACTCATGACAGGTTATGGAGGGTTTTAATGAGTTCAGTGCCTTTTTCTCTCTTTATTTAATCTTCACTTTATTGATATGAGTCAATCTGCTGGTTGTTTTAGTGGCTACTTCAGATGTTAATTGTCAATAGGAAGAGGTAACGTAGCACCTTGGCAAGGCTCTGCTGGCAGTGTGGCTGCTTTCGTGAATCAGAGAGAAATGTTTAAATTCAGGGTGACCTGATCATTCTGGTGTTTTGTCCCAATTAAAAATTGCTGGTTCAGATGAGGTTAGGAGAGCTGAAGTGTGCAGTGTCTGCACTTCACTATTGCCAACAGCAGATGTCACATTACTTGCCACTCTGATTTCTTACAGATTCATTTAGCCAAGTTCTGCCAAATACCCATTTGGTTTGTTTTAAAGCTCTGAGCCTGCGAGGTACGGAATTACCACCCTCTGCCTCAAGAACCTTTTCCTCATGGCCAACCTCACCCTCCCCTGCCACATCT